TAGGAGTGGTAATTTCACATATTTATTGTATACGACATGTTTTAAATAACGATAAGGTTACATGTAATTTTATTGGGGTCACTAATGACTGCAATGAAAATATTTTGATATGATACTTGCAATATGGGCGTCTGAGTTTCTGGGCGTTCCGTGATTCATATTTGATGTCAAGGTGTAAATGTGTTTGGGAATCCCTAATTTTTCTACTTTTTTGCTACTCAGTACTTTGCCTAATTCAAATGTTGAGAACGTAGCGTTTTTATAATTTATAACGCTTAATAAAGGTGTAGTAGATATTTTATGACAGTTTTAAAGAAGAAACTGAAATTAGTGGTGAAATTGATCAGGATGTTACTGCCAATTTTGATGATAGCGGTGAAGAAGAGTTTTCTGTAGAATACAACCTCGAAAATGCATCTCTTCCTTGCTGTTCGACCCACTGGTTCAATCTGCAAATCTAAATGTTGCCTTGTTGTCTTCTCATCGCTCATTCGTCCCACGCGCTCCATCCATCAGAGTCTCGCTCGTAATGAATCCGACCATATAAAAACTATGTATCTATCAATAGTAATGCGCAGTGCTTCACGGATGGAGAAGTATGTGTGAAAAGATCCAAGTTACCTACCAACATTCGGGAAGTTTTGGATAAGTTTTTGTTTGGATATATCGACTAATACAGACAGTGATATGTCTGCGTCAGATGAAGAAACTGATAGTGAACTTCAATATATGTATATAAAATTTAAAACCTAGTTTGTTTACTCATGCTCAGCTAAATAATTTTCTGGGGTTACGGCTTAACAAAGAAGAAATCAGAAGTATTTGGTTCCACAGTCAAGGAGAAGAACTTGTTGACAGTAGAAACTATCATTTATGGATATAGGCGATGAGAGGAATATTTTTCTTAATATTTCAAACAAGCAGATGTTTTAGTATAGTATTTAAATATTTGTTTATCGATTTATCCGATTTGTGTATAGATTTATCTAAACGCCGTTCTATTACACCTTCATTACCTGTTGTTCATTCTGTACATATGAGGGAAATGTATAAAAATCTTTATATAGTTTTAAATAAAATAAACCCTGATTGTGCTCATGATTGGCAGATATGAGGTGATTTGAAAGTGTCAGGCATGTTTGTTGGTCAGCAAAGTGTTAGGCAAGTTCTAGCTTCTTTGTACCTGTAGAGAAACAAACCTTGTCGACTCGAAAAACTTTCGCACAAAATATTTGGACTAATTAAATAGCTTAAATAGCAAAAAATTAAAGAAGGCACGTTATTCGGCCTTGTACACGGAAACTGATATCCGACTCCAGCTTTGAATTGCAAATGACAGTAGTTTAGAGATCGGGGCAACAAAAAGGATACACTTTAAGTTTCTATAGTTGCCAATATGCTGGAGAAGTCTAAATATGGATGTTTAATGAGGCTGAAGCTACAGTTTTTAAAGAATCGCCTTGATTTTGTTCTAGAGAATTTGGGTGATATTAGTAAAGAGTAAGGAGAACGGTTTCAAAAAGACTCAAATTTATGGAAAGGCGGTATCAAGGTCACAGGAATACCAACGTAATAGGAAACTACTAGTGGTTATTTAAAAAAAAACTGAAGAGACTTGAGTAAATAAAGTTGTATATTACACAATGGTGATGTTTCTGAACATTTCAGAAAAAGTTTTAAACAACTGTCGTTTTTGTCTATTAATCCAACGGTGACCAAACTGCGGCTCGCGAGCCACATACGTCTCTTTGAAGGATTATTTATTATACGTAACTATCATAAAAGGCATAAGAATCAGCTATAAACATTAAATTGTTATTAAGAAGTTGTTTTTTTTTGTTCGATTGTGTAACAAAGAAAATAAAACACAACCTATCGAGAAGTAAGTGTCTGAGGAGTAATTCTCTATCCTGATGAAGTTTCCAATAGTTGTATTCTCAAGCCAGAAGTTATTCGTCGACGAAACGTGATTTCCGAACATTTCTTATAAAATAAAAATTAACCCCTCGTACAAATTTAATTTAAGTTTTACTACGTCGCATCGCCGCGATAATTTGATTTCGAAAAATTAAAGTTGAAAGGGGAGGCTTTGAAAAATCCGAGAGGAGGATTCGAATCACTAACCGGACTGTCGATCTTGATTAACGTCTCAGTATTCGCAATTTAACTTCGTTGAATATGTTTTTAACCACTCGACACGACTTGAAGAGAAGAGGAGTCATCCTCTTTCGCTACCGGGGTCACCAATAGTACTACTCTTCGATGTTACAGTCATGAAGTTCTTCTTCGTGCACGTTGTGTCCGGTGGCTACTTATAGTTTGGTCGTGTACCTCCTTATGTATATACATTTGCCGTGATTTGCCGTTTGCGTTTAGAATCCACGACTCAGACGGCGTCGTCGTCGTCGACGGCCATTTTGGATCGATCCAAGAATCGATATGTCATTATATTAATCCCCGGTAAATAACGGATGGACGGCGCTCCCCGGCCGATGGCCATTACTACCGCGATCGTGATTCCTCATCCTACTTAATGTGCGGGGGCTTCGGCAAAAAACTTTTAAAAGCGCCGTCGACATCAGGTCCCACTGACATCAGTCCGTCTGCATTATCTCTCCCTATCGAGGGCCAGGTTGTCGGTCATTTACATATTTATGGACGCGCTAAAAGTGTCCGACGTAAAATCTCCTCTCCACTTCAATTGACACACTACACTTAGTTATTATTTTTCATTGATGGTAATTTGACGTTCGGGATTTTTCGTCTCTCAACTCATTAAGCTGTGCGGATGTTCTCTTTCAACAAATCCATAGAGATCCCATATTCTGAAATTCCATTTTCTGGTCTTGCAATATTGCATTATTATTGTTGATTTTGAAGAAATTGTTTCATAAAATTGTGTTGGTTATCTGAAAATCAAATGAGATACAAGATATGAATAAAATAAAATAAAGGCAACAGTTTCACCGTTGGTAATTATTTATAGCGTAGATGAGCAGGCTCGATCGTATTACGATCGGTCGCGGCCGGGCGTAAATTTTTCCGATAATATATTCCGATCGCGTTACACATGCCATTAGATGTGTAAATATTTCGCTCGTAATTGATAATTATAAATTTAATTATACCGGCGCGATTTATTACCTGCTATTTAGTTTCAAGCGGCAAAAATCACGGCGATCGTGTGATTTACGGCTTGTGACACGGCCCGAGGTTTGTTCGACATTGTCACCCGTCTCTGTAAAATTAACTGCCTGTTAATATAAAATTAATGTATTATAAATTTTCCGCTCGTCGTGTTTTTCTTGATGTCGTCGGACTCCGTCGGGATTATACCAGCGTCGATCCGCTGTAATAATTTAAACAATGTTATTAAATCTAGTACTATTGGGAAATCAGTGATTTAGAAACCAATAGTGGAAAGCTAATATAATTTCATATATCCACCCAACCAATTATAATTTATTTGAAACCATAAAATATCACTTACATTTTTTTTAAAAATACATCTAATTATTTATATTTATACTCACAGGAAGTTTATACTTGTTGATACATGTTTTTATTATTAGAATCATGAATATTAATTATTACACGGTGAAACATGATAAAAACAGTTTATACCATGAGTTATAGCTTCTAGTATCATAATTCCGATTAACAAAAACTTGTGATCAACTAGATGTAATCGTTCAATTAAGGAAGTTGATATGAGAGAAAATAAACTTAGTGGTGCGCAGACGTGGGAATATTACATGCTCTAAGGCGCCGCTTTGTTTTAGCACTAAATTACTCCAGCTCATATAATAATAAGTAATAAATCCAGAAAAGAAACCGGTCGTTATCAGTTGTGCTGACTTATTTATGCGAGCCGATTGATGTACAACGAAATTATAGGCCGCGCTCAATAATGCATCAACTAAATTTATACATACACAGTGCCGCCGCCGAGTCGCCTCCTACTGCAATATCGTGAGGGAGCAAACAGGATGAGGGGCAAAGGGGCTTTTAAAATATACTCCCCGAGAAACTTATCCTATTATGTACCCTATTCGGATTAGTTTCGGCTTTGTATACATAAAATATCTTTTGACTATCCCATAACTTTTAGTAGCTTTAACTTTTCATATATTCTATAAACAATACATCACAATTTCAAGGTTATCAAGTCATATTTTGTATAGATTTACCATGTTTGTTCATTCAAGTTTTCTTTTTAAGTGACATATACGGTGTTGTATACACAATAGTGAGAGGATTTAATCACCTAGATGCATCACATGAAATGGGACAAAAATTCTCAATTTTGTATCACCTTTAATGTGTGAGAAATATTTTTTTAGTGATAGTAGAAATTATATTTATCTTAGTTTAAAATGAATACTCAATTTTAAATGATTAAATGATCTATAACTTTATCTACTTTTGAACAAATTAAATAAAGAATGTAATTGGAGAATACTTTGTATACTTCTCGATCGCGTTTTATATTTAATAGTCTCAATTGTAGCGCCTCGGCTCCATGCGACCTTGGTTAATCCCTCCTGACCAGCAGATAAATCTTCACTATCTTACCATCTACTTGATAAACTATCTAGATGATAGTTGCCATGTTTACAGTGGTCTTAAGAGTAGTCTCCTTGTTAAGACTTGGATTTATCTATCGAATAAATAAAAGTAAAACAAATCTTTGTATACCACGCAATATTTTTTGGCTCGAATCCACTATGGATAAAACAGACATGTAAGGACTGCTTACATGTCTGTTTTATTTATATGTAATCGTTTCATTATGCTTCATTATTTAAGATGGGTGAAAAAGTAAATGAAGGTATGTTACGGAAGAGAACTTTACACAGACAGCACGTAGTGAAGTAGTGAGGAAAGTGATATAATCGTAATTCTGGTGTTTGAATCTGAGCAAATACAAGAATGATAAATCAGTATTGGGGCTACACCTATAAATATTATTACAAATGTGCATGTAGTTAAGGCTGTAGTCTCACGGTCACAGAGTTTCTGAGGGGCCCAGGAGACGGACGTTCGGAAGCAAGAAGACGGGACTTATTTCTCCATATGCCCCGCCCCTTTATTTATCTTTTGCCCACGCAGTCCCTTTGAATTGAATGTGTTTATATCACCCGTTTTTTATGGAGAATATAGAAAAAGACGGTAATAGTAAGTAGCGTCTTCATCAGTAAATATCTAATAGAATAAGGATTTTGTGGATTATGCAGATGAACACAAATAAAAACTTTTATGCAAAACGCGGTATTGCACTGTAAAGAAAAATAGTGATTAGTAATAAATATTGTAACAAATATTGATAACAAATTTGCCGATAAATTGTACACAGTTGTAAAATGTACATAATTGTACAAAATAATAGACACAATTAATTTATTAATAGATAATTGGGAGTAAGAAATACCAGAAAGGTCCTTACTCTTTCAATGCGAGGTTATAGGAACAAAAATTTTAATAGAGCAAGATCAAGAAACGGTTGTATCTTTACTTTTATTTTTACATCTAGGGTGTTTTATTTCTAATAGTTAAACTCCTAGTGTGCCGTGGATCCACCAATTCAGGCAACATGTTGTCAAAATAAAATTTTTTCAATTTTTCTTTCATTTTGTCCTTCCAGAAATTAGGATCTTTAGAAATCTAAAAAAAAATTGTAATATAAATAATAATATTAAACATTTGTTATTGTATCTTTATACCATTTCTATCTCGATACCATGCGGTGTCCATACAACAAAATAACACGAATTGCGACCTGTTATATGCAATTGTCCTTGAATTTGGAAGTAGTAATCGTGACCTCTATTTAAAACCATTTTATTATTTATAAATTTACAAAACTTTATTATCCCTTCTTCTATTGCCGCTCTTGGCGTTAATTTCCTTGCTGAAAAGGGACATTTGATTTCACACAAGAAATCCTCCCCTATTAGCCCATCTGGTGATGCAGCTAAATAACAGTCCGTCTTATGAATAAACAAACCACACGGCAAAACATTTACTTGTAGTTCGTTTTCAAGCTGTTGCCTAGCAATGGGTTCTTTTTCAATGCCATATTGCATTGCTATTGTCGGATGAAAGGATTGGTAAATTAAATATTTGACAATATTTGATGGATTAGTACTCTCCCTCTTCTTACAAATTCTTCCGAAGTTGGAAGCTGTGAGCCGCTTACTTCTTTCCTCGTACCAAAGCTGACTATTGGCCTGTCCCGCTGTCCTAATTTCTATTTCCGCTAACTCGTCTTCCGGTTTGTAAATATTTCTTAAAAACGCTTCTTTTTTAGCGGCGTATTTAGCGGGCGACATATCTGGTATCAATTCATCTAAACCATAATTTTCATCAGCTGCTTGCACTGCTACTTTACGTCTCTTTCGCAAAATTTTACGTTTAGAAACACGCCCTGAATTTAATTCGGAGTATCTTTGAGTGTATACTCCTAAATTATTTCCAGATAATTTTTTATGGATACTTCTAATTGCTTCTCCTTTGGTGTTGTATGAGATAGCTGCTACATTACACCTCAAATTGTAACCAAATCTTCTACAATAATTAATTCGTTTACCTGCCACATATTTTGCGATAACGGAATTATAGCATTCCGCCACATTTGTCGACATATTTGTTAATAAACTGTGTGCATTAAAAATTAGACGGTTCACGAATGAATTGATGTCATCATATAACCCACAATTTTTTAATTCTTCTATCCAATTACGTTCGCCTAATTGTTGGCGTTTACAAAAGTATGTTCCGCAATTGGAATGATCACCAAATACATGATGTACACTATTCGCAAGGTCTTGCGATAAGAGCCTTACATTTTTATGGAGTGCCCTATATTTAGCAGCAGATAGAGCAGCCGTTCGAAGCCTACGGATATTGTTTTCTAATAACTTCCTTAGTTGAACAGGAACGAACGTACCGCGCGAACTAAATTTTCGTCCACTTATTTCTTTTAATCTTATGCAATAATTCCGCAAAAGATGATTAGAGCATTCAATCTTTTGTACCAATTGGTCCCCGTAGGGTCTTACATCTAGTAATTTTCGGTACACACTGCTGTCCCCATCTCCTACCAATTTATTATATTTAGCACCATGCATTTCCATGCTCTTTTTGAAGCCCTCTGCAATTATAGACGCTTCCATCCCTGTAGAAGGCCCATTAAAATTTTTGTAACATGCGTGGGATTTAGCTTCAATATTTAGAGCGGTTGCTCTTTCGCATATTATACAAAATTTATTTCTTATTCCCAAAAAGACAATTTTTTTTGTTCGCATCCCTATTATACAGGCCTAAGAATGAACAGGATTTACTCAATCATTTTATAATGGTACAAGTTGATATACTTACTACACCAGATAAAGCATTATAATTAGTCTTATAGGAGCGTTTGGACCAAGCACCATCAACAATCACCGTTAATAATGGAACACCAAATTTATCAATGTCGCCATTTTCCTTTGCTAATTGTACTTCTTCTTTACCTGCTTTTTCTATTTCACTCCAAGTACATTCTCCAATAACTGTGTGTAAATCTTCTTGATGTTTATAATATAACCGCTTAGATATAGGTGGTATGTTGAGTGAAGCTGCTATTTCACTCAGTTGTTGGAAACCATTTCCAGACATAATAGTTCCAGAAACAGCCGCCATATTAACATTAGGTTGACTAAAAGGATTTTCAGAGTAGATTTCTAATTGAGATTTACACATATTACATTCATATAAGAAAACGCTTGCAAAGCCGTCTCTATTTTCTTTAACAAACTGTAAATTTGCTACAGTACAGTTATATAACGTAACGTGTTTATGGTCAATTAGTTGCTTTACTATGTAACCCACATCCACAATACGGCGACCAGTCGGCATTGTACTATAAAAATAATTCTGCTATTAAAATATGCGATCTCTATGTTTTTATTACCCTCATTTTATTGATTACTTACTTGTTGACCTGTACATTATCATGTAATAATTCTAAAATGGGAGAAGTGTTTATTGGTATTTGTGGGGAGGGTTGATTTGGAATAAACTGATCTATTCTGTAAAAAAATGTTATATGTAATTAATTCTCATAATTATTTATATCATATAATATTCACATACCCAAAATCAGTAGCAACATTCTCAGCTACAGGGATTTCTATTGACTCACTATGTGATTGAATAATTCTACAAATGTGCGAAGAAAAATGTCATCAACATGTACTATCGGCTTATGGGAAATTATAATAAATCAAGAGTATGATAAAGATTTACCTTCGCGAGGCTCTACTGGCTTGAATCGCTCGCTTCTTTTTTGATTTCAGTTTGGAATACGGCGTTTTAGTTTTACCCATATTTTACATAAAATATTTATAAAGTCACTGTCTCAAACTTAAATCACTAATCACTAATTAAACACTAAATCTATACACTAAACTAAACTATTCAACGAACTATACTTTCTTTTGAGTGGATACGACGAACGAAACGAACGAACTAAACCAAAGGACCGAAATACCAAAACAAACTTTTGTTAGCAAAAGGTTTGTGTCACCAAAACCATAATTATCCTATACAAATAAACCTTTCAAAACAGGAAATCAGTAATAATTTAAAATAAAATATGTATTTTTTGTATTTTTATTTAAAACCATTTTGATACTAAACCAAAATATTTAATACTACTGAAAAAAATTAATAATAGTAATGTTTAGGAATAAGCCATTGAAGTTACCTAGTTCAATGGCGGACCTAATTATAATAAAAAATAAATAATCAGAATTTAATTCGGTTACCTTAAAAACTATACATCTATATTGTATTCAGCTTCACCTACTTATATACTTTTATTTCAAAGCAATTGAAACAATGCTATTCATACGAAATGGTCGAAAAATACGATAAGATCGTAAAAGATGCAATGTAAATAAACAGACCGCTCGCACAATCTGTTTGGCCACACCATGCGCCCTTTGAGGGCGGAGCTAAATTGAAATTTGCAAAGAAATTAGGATATTCTTACCGTGGGAAATTCCAATCTAACTCATTTATATCAAAAAATTTCAAAAAAATTTATATATAAAAAGTAACCAGAAAATTATTATCTACGGCACCAAGGACTCGATTTCGGAACTTTTCTTAAAACTCTTCTTAATCTCCGTTATTATCAACAATTATCTAAATATTTCACCGTGCGGCCCTAGAGTTCGTCTTTCTATACATTTTTTATTTGAAAGATTTTTGGCTATATCAAACGGTTAACGCGTTATATTGGAATTAAATTTTCGGTCCTGAGACTACAGCCTTAAGGAACATTGTTCAGCATACTGGTGAAATTGCAATTGCTGACTCCAAAAACTATCACCCTATTCATTGGAAATCATTTCATCTGAACAAAGTTTAAGAATTAATTGCGAGCCTAAGGATTGAAAGACAGTTTTCATGTTATTAAGAACTCTAATTATACTGGACTTATTACAACACTGGAACTATGTTTGCAGAATTAATTAACCGAAACTTCTAAATCCTTAAAAATTTAAATTCAATAATCCCATGATTGTGCTTGAATATAGAAAAAGCAAATACCACAAAATATTTAATATTGGCTATACCAGATGAATTACTCAGATGATTTTATTTTTGGGGTTGGGTTGGGTTGGGTTGAGAAAAATAATTACTTATCTGATTAAGATCAGGGCTTTGGACAAGCTGATGATCAAACTTGTCGACTTTGCAGCGACGAGTCAGAAACAGCTGAACATATACTGTGTAATTGCGTCACCAGAGACCGTCTAAGACACAAAATTTTCGGTAAAGCTCTCTTGACACCTACCGACATAAAGGTTCAAGACCTTGGGGCAATACTTAGGTTTATCAAGGACCTACATTTGCCCTAAACTTTTGGAGGGCTGAAGTTACAATAGATCTTATAGGTCGCGGTAACGCGAGGAGCCGCTCCCCTCAGCCCGGCAGCAATAATAATAATATCAGGGCTTTAAGTATATTGACACATGATCAGCAGATATAAACTGAATGTTAGTTAGATCTCATAGTATTAAAGTTCGATAATGATTTATGAAGAAGTCTCGCAAAAAAAGTTGCAAGTTAACGCAAAAAGTACCTCTATAATTGTGCAAAAGCATCATTAACATCATTGCAGCTTTATACCTATTGGAAACTTTACCATCTGTTGTCATGAAATTTTTCACACTTTTTTTTTTTTTCACTAGTTGATCATCCACATTCCACCAACAACACAGCCCTACTTGATATGAATTTCGAAAAGTGCATTAGATTTACCCCTCTTTGCTCCAAAAATTATTCATTATGGCACGAACAGATCAAAGCCCTTTAACGGTTGTGTACTTAAGATGCTTCGATAGGAGTTAATTTGATATCTTGCAACAACACTTCACATCTCCAGCTGATAACTGCACCTGCTGCAACATAATTTTTGAATTCTTTGATTCTTTTCTTGCATTTAATAACATGTTATGTGCATAAATAAATATTTTATTTAATATTAAACGGTTGATAAAAAGGTTGTGTGCGCAATCATTTCTCATATTTAAATTTGAAAGAAATTTCTTGGATTATTCTTCTTGGACAAGATGATTCTTATTGTAAATGATTTTAGTAAAACAAAATATGCGTTGTGGACGAGCCGTGTGGTGTCTAGGTCCATGCAATATAATCTGTGTTTGAATGCCAACAAATACTTATTCGAGCTGGTACTCTATAACTGGTTTGGCTTTGTAAATCTAGATGTTGATTCTTGTGCATAGATATTGGGCCGAATAATAATAATTTTGTATTGAATGTTACGGCTGAATTGGATTTCGTTAATGATTTAGCGACACGATTGCGGACATAGTCAACTAATTTTACTTTTTCTTCTACATCTGTTTTGCAAATTGATCGATTTATCTAATTTTAGTCTGCAGTACTGACTTGGCGGTAATGAATACAAAATAGAACCCCAACAATTTGATTTATTTTATACGTATACATGGACATCATGCCCATAGTACTCCTAAAATACTCCTAGAACATCTCTTTGTTTATTTGTTATCCCATCAACAGAGGATTTAAATGATTTTGAAAATGTTTTTATTTCAGGATATCCTATGTTGTTATAGCTACCCAACAGACCGTGTATAATGCAAATAAAGTTATCAAGATGACAATCCGACTTGATATGAAACGTTGGAAAATAAATATAATGACTTTACTATAGAAAATCTTAATCAAAGATACAATGTATTTATGTAGTACTATTTTCAAGCTATTTTACTGTTTTACTGAAGTCAATAAATAATCCGCACATCTGTGAGTTATGCTATACACTTAACTGATTAACCAGTATCTTCTGCAAATCAAAACAGTGACTCGATCTCAACAGTTCAGTGTTTACTTTTGAATGTTTCGAAATGTCGACTTTACAAGTTCTCGTCTCCGTGTTCAGCACCTTCTTATTTATTTGACCTTGGATTTGTCCCGCAGATTATAAGTTACAGATAGGACCAGAAAACTCTTCATTATGAGACAAGATTCATTTGGAGACTCTGTTTTATAACTAGATTTGCTTGAGTGATCTACAATATGTGTTACGATATTGTATTCTAGGAACAACGTATGGCAAACTTATACTATTTTTAAGTGTTTGAGAGTGCTTTTGAGAAGATTGTTATAAAAGTGTATAGGCACATGCTTAGTTAGAACTTGGTAAAGAACACTTTAGATGTATGTGTAGCAGTTATTAATAATTAATATCTTTGATGATACTCTCAAAGATAATCCTAAATACTTTGGAGATACGTTTATATCAAGAAGATTAATTAAAGGAGTGCTTAGAGTAAGGTGGATAGATTTAACTCCTAAACCACGCTCCATTGATCGAAATTAAATACGTTAGTTTACGTTAATTAATTGATCGTGCCGAGACATTTAAGGACCTAGAAATAGCACCTGATAGATTTCTTCGATTCCCTTAACCATTATATGTGTGTCTGTTTTTTAGAATTTAGGGTTTATTTTGAGAATGGTTAAAGGTTTCCTTGATTTAGATTCCTTCTGTAATCTTTCTTTTCACAAACCCAAATTTAGACATTTATCAGATCAAACTCTCACCATAATGTTATTATCAGCGAATATAACTTTATTAAAAAAATACATATTATCTTTAGTGTTAACTGTTTTAATAATAACGAAAAGATAAAATTGTGCATAAACTACAAAACTGATTCGTATAGAAACCTTTTTTTACAAATTTGTAGGTATAGATAAGGAATGTGTTTTGACACACGAATTGTAGAGTTAACTATACTACTAATTTACTGTTATATCTCTTTTATTCGTTTACATTTCGAGAATTGATGGCGTGCATACGTCATGTGATATCAATTTTTTATGAGGAACCGCAACCGTGTTCGTCCACATATAGTATGCAGTTTGCATGCCATGCAATTGTTATATGTATATGAGAAAAAAACACCATAATTTGAGGTAATGTGAGTTACGGATTCTATTCGATATGGCGGGGCGCGCGTTTCAGGGTAACTTCCGTTACACAGAAACGCAAATTTATATCGTGTGTCTTTCGATTATTCTTTCCGAACGGGTTTAAATTCGTAAACGAACGAGACGGTTCAACTGTCAACTTTCGGGATGCATTATTTACATTTATGCCTTTTAAAGTTAGGTGGTTGTTTGTGAGCACGACCTGAAACTAGAACGAGCTAAATTTAATGTTATTCAAATATTAATTCTTAAAATATGGATTATTTTTAAAGTTGAACTTGAAAGTGTTAGTGTTTGATGTTGAATTATAATTTCAGTCATCAAATGTATTCATCTTTGCCAAGAAATCGAGCTTCTATTCAACAAACGGGTTCTTTGACTAATCATCTCCGTTACAGCTTCTAACAATCGATGCCTGGAGGCGTATTGGAAATCGGCCGGAAATAATTAACCGTCGGCAGCGCCACCTGACGGGTCGAGCGCGTAACGTTCGTCGGCGCCACGATGCACGCGCGCGCCCCGGCGTCAAATAAATTAATTAAATTAAATTAAATTATTCGCAAGGCGGCGCAATTATGCGAGCAATAATTAAATTGCGCGTTATTTATGTTAACGGTAAATTTAATTAAATTAATATATATGGATTTCGAACGGTTATAATTTAATTAACGTTCTGTAATAAAACACAATTAATGCCTGGTATATATTAGACGGGAACGCGCTCCCCGCGGCTGTAGACGTGGTAGTTGCGTTGGTTGTAATACTACTCTCTACTGTTGAGCTTTGCGGGAAGTTTGCGCAATTCCTGAAATACCATATAATTAAGTTTCAGCTAAAATGGATTACAATTTTTCATACTTATCGAAAATAGATTTCATTAGATGTTTTTTTTTGCAATTCAGTTCAAAATTGATCTTATTACATTTAATAAAATTACAAATACAAAGAGCAATCTGCGCGCACTTGGTTGCCACGAAATTAAGCCATAATTTTTTACCGAACCACCGTCAGCGGGGGATGACTTTCATGGCGAACTTCAGAGGGATCGCCTGATTTCGCAGTCCGGTACAATCAAGGCCCTCTGGGAGGTGAATTGACAATTTGTATCCATTATATTTATGCAT